GTGTGTGTGTGTGTGTGTGTGTGTGTGTGTGTGTGTGTGTGTCTGTATGTGTGTGTGTGTATGTGTACAAGTGAACAAAGTAAACAAGGAATTAAGAAGATGAAATGAAGATGATGAGTTCAGTTAAGGGTTCCTTAGGCCTGAAAGTTAACTCTTTGGCATTCAAATGAAAGTTTAAATTTTCGGCCAAAGCCTAATTGTGCAAATGGATCAATCAAGTTTAGTCTTGCTGAGGAATTATTTCTTAAAATCACTCATGCATGCATGCATGTATGCAAAGAATTGTTCGAATAGTATGACTTAATTATAAATGTATTATAATTTCAATTAGGAATAGAATCAAAGATAACAAATATCAAAGGTTAAGAAAAAATTAATAAAAAGTTTTACGGATAAATTTTAAAAATTAAAAAAAACACCAAGAAAGATGTTACTAGAATACATAATCAAATTTATATTTATCATCCAAACTTTTTCATCTGTTATCGTTAACAAATCAATTTCTGATTTTCTTTTTTCTTTTTTTTTTTAATTTACAAATCGTTCCCATTTAAAAATTTCCAAATTTTATAGCTTTTAATATCGAATATCATTGTGGTGACTTATTGAAATTCCTCAGGGAATGAAAGATTATAAAACAATTCCAATTGAACCTTTATCCTCCTTTCCCTCTTACTTTTTACTTCATCTTCCACGATATCAGGAATATTGCTATTATCAATTTTCCTTCTTATTTAAGCCAATAATTGGTACAACTTGATACTATCAATAAATCTATCATCCTTGAACTGATTCAAATTTCGTACCTCACATTTCGAAATTTAAATTATGCAAGAAACTTCCCACTCCCCATTATCGTCGAGATCGATCAAAGTAAGATTTACATCAATTTAGAAGATATATTAAAAGTCAATTTGCCATTCTTCATAAGCAATAATAAAAAAAGGTCATTAATGTGTCTCTAAAATGTGTAATTAAGTCAGGCGCGCAATTTTCCTCTGCTCCAACTATAATAAAATATACCATTTGAAATTTTTCAAAAACAAAACTAGAAAAAAAAAGAACTGAAGTAGTAATATTGAAGTATATAACAAGAAAAAAAAATGCAAAAATAAGATAAAAAAGTTTTAACATAAGAAAAAAAGAAAGTTAAAAAATAAGAAAGTTTCCAATTCTAAAGTTTTAATTTAAAAGGAAAATTATTTCTCATTATTTTCATCGGTCAATAAAATAAATTGCGACAAGATTATCTACATATTGGTTTTTAAAATTTGCTTGGTTCAATTGCGCACGTATGAAGATATATATATATAGGTATGTTTTGTGTATTTGCTAATAAAATAACGATGTATCTGTTGCTAACACAATAAAGATTTGCTAATACAATGAAGAAGTGTATTGCTGATACACTAAGGGTGTATGTTGCTACTAAAATAAAGACAGTTAAGTTACAATAATGTTGCTAATACAATAAAGATGTATATTGTTAACATAACAAAAATTTATATTGCTAATACGATAAAGATATTTGTTGCTAATACAACAAAGATGTATCAATTGTTTGTGTATCTGTATATAATACTAGAAATAATGATTTGTTTGCATGTACAGCATATTGCTGTGACATTAAATTGCTGTAACATTAAAGATATGTGTACTATTTACTGTAATTATTACTATAATAATAAGAGTGATCGATTTTTGATCAAGCTTATCTAAATGACAAATGATTTTTCTTTTTTCGTAAAATTTAACCAAACCTTTTGCGTTTTGCAAATTTTCTCAAGACTTTGCACATCATGACTGGAATGTTTCGTTTCTTGTAAGCATTGGCAACAGACAGCTAATCGACAAATCATACAGTACATTGAAAGACTTTCACATGGATGATTGAAACATTTCGAATCTTTCGGCAAACCGATCGTTGTCCGATATGGTCTTCTAAATTATGCTAATACAGTTTAGCTTAAAGGTCATCCGCTAGTTTAAAACAAAAGGAAAAGAGGACAATTGCACATATTTAATCATAAAATAACGTATTCACTCCCTTTATTGACGTATTTTTGTTGTGAAAAAAAAGCAAGAGAAAAATCACTTGATAAATATTTTTTCAAAATTTCAACAGATGGATGATTTATCCAAAAAAAAAAATTACGAAATAATTGCAATTTATAGTAATTTTCCAAAAAAAAAAAGAAAAAATACACGATAAGTAGTCATGATTTATTAGTAATTTATCGTATTTTCATTGTAAAAAATGAAAAAAAAAACAACAATCAATCAATCAATCGTATTAATTTATGGTAACAATAGGATAATACCTTGCAGATGGTGGTACCAATTTGTGGGATGCCAATGGTCCACGAGCTGGATGTAATGAATTTTGGCATGATTGACAATAGTAAATGTCACATTGTTCACAGAAAACATTAGCTATCGCTGGTTCCTCTGTATCACATAGCTGAAGGAAAAAAGAAAGTACCCATATCACAATAATTTTTCTTCAAATTAGGTTATACATAAATGACATACTTCAAGTTACCTTGGTGTACATTTCTCTTATCTATTTTTACAATCAACTCGTTAAGATAGCATTAATTTCCTCATGTTCAACTATCTTCAGATGTATGTCAAAGTACCAACTAATCAATTCTACCGTATTCCTAACAGCTTTCATCCAAGATATATATGATAACATATCAGTAAGTACCTTGTTATTTTCTTTAGATAGTTGAACGTTTTTATATCCGGTACTTTTTCTCATACATGAATCATCAGATTTTAGCTTTGAAATTTATCTAATTGGACTGATAAACATACCTGGCAGTTATAGATTTGTTCGCTACTACCACTCTTATCTCGAACTAATAGATTACCTGAATGATACCTGAAATTCATTAATTTTTACAACTAGATTTTATTCTTTCCAGTCATACAGTAATAAACAGTGCGATTACGGTAGATATTTTACTAACTTATTTGTTAATATTTTCAACGAAATAGATTTATAGAAACAATAAAAAATACAAAATATTGATTTTTTCTCAGTACCTTTTGATAACATTGACAAGAGCATTATTAATAGGCATTAACATGACAGTTTGTTCGTCCGGAAAAATTGTCGGTTTATGGCATGCCTTACATGTAACAATCCATCCTGATGTGGAAGGTGTTAAAATAGACGGAAGACGATGTCCTCCGAAACAACCGGAAGGAAAAGGATGTGTAACTGCTGAACCGATTAGTGATGGAGGTCGAGAATCTGAAAAACTTAGTTAATATAATTTATAATCGTCACCTATATCAAAGTATTCCAATAACATATGACAAATTCTACCAAATAAACGTGAAATAATTTCTGCGAGAAAAAAAAAAAACTTACTCCTACCGGAAACGACCACTCCGCTATCGGTTTCTGATATAACCGATAGTTTGTCACTTTCAATATCCTGATCTGAAATACATAACGAGATCGTATCACTAGCACCTGAAAATTCAAATCCTTAAATTGTTTTAGAAAATGATCAAAGAAAGGAGATTAATCAAATTTTCAAATTTCAAATTTTCCAACTTTAAATGGGATATTAAAATATGGAATCAAATGTAAATTTTGGCATTGAACAATTCTGAAGGTTTTAAAAATTTGAATTTTAAAAAAAAATTCAAAAAAAACGAAACATTGACAACTGCTGTTAAACATTTACTTCACCCAACGAATGATTTGAACATATTATGTTGAAATTTGCTATCATAATGTAATACAACAACTAATTCTTTAAAAAATATTCACGAAATACATTAAAGGTAATAATTTAACTTTCATTTGATAATCATAATTAATGGTACCAATGTGTAAATGATTTTTACAACTGTTCATAGTTAAATTGTTTTGATAGTTTGTTTATTTTAATTGCTTTATCAATTACAGTTAGTTATGTAGCACTTTTTTTTCCATTTGTAAATTTGAACTTATTTACTTGCTATTGCTACAACATGAACCTTATTTGTTAAATTTTCATTTGATAACAATAATTATGGTACCATAATTATCGTATAATGATTACAGTACCATAATCTTAACCTTATACTTGTTTATATTATAATGATAATAATAATTTTGTAAATGATTAACAAACCGCTGCTTGATGGTAATGATAATGGTGTGGTATTATGAAGATGCGTAAATGGTGCTGTTCCGGATATTGTACTACCATGAGAATGTGGCAATGATGTAGTTGGTGTATTATGACAAACTGGTTGTTGACATTGTACCACACATCGACGACAATAGCTATGCGCACAATTGAGAAGTATCGGTTCTGTGGATGGCAAAAAAAGTTTTTTTTTGATTGTTAAAATTAAATTTACTCATGAAACTGTTAATTTTGCTATGTATTAGTACAATAATATTATTCTCATAACCCTCATTATATATCAGTGCAAGATTAATGATGATATTAGAATTTTACCGCCGATAAAACAGCACAATGCAACAATGATAGTGGGATTTTACCGCCGCTAAACAGTAATGCAACAATGACATGTGGGGTTTTACCGCCGATAAACAGTATAATGCAACAATGATAGTAGGATTTTACCGCCGCTAAACAGTAATGCAACAATGACATGTGGATTTTATCGGCAATTTTACCGCCGATAAACGGTAGTGCAATAATTAATCGTACAATTTTATCCTCTTCTACGATAAATACTGGAATTGTGATGAAAATTTCAATCATTTGTAAAAGATTATGGAAGGAATGTTCTGAATTGTTCTATTTTTTTAAATAAGAATCGAGAGATTTTTATCTATTCACGTGAATAAATTTGATTTAAAAAAAAAAGAATTAAGCAATGAAAAAAGAAGAAAGAAAAAGGTAAGAAAGAAAAGATAGACGAGGAGAAGCATTTAGTTTCTTTTTTCGATTTAATCCATCCCTATAATCTGATGATGGGTCAAATGTCAACTTATTTATCAGAATATCACTTCCTTTTAAATTCCATTCTATCTTCTCATAAATGAACATTACATTCCCATTGTGAGAAAAATTTTTGATCTTTAAAGAGAAAAAAACAAAAACACAGAATTATATTTTTTAAAGTTGCACCTAATAGAGTAAGTGAACTTTTGCATATTCTTCAATTGACCTCAACCAAGTGGTCATCTGATGGATCAACAAGTGACAAATAGTTACTATTTGTTTGGTTGATTGACATACCTGATGATATGAAGGTATGATGAGTGATTTCCTTATTTACTTACCACAAGCTAATGATTTAGCGTTTTGAAATCATTCAGATGAATAAAATAAGGAAAAGGTCAAAGGTAAAAATTATTGAGATTGTTAAATTGCTATAATTGTTTAAAAAATGGTGTGCAACACTTTTGTTTCAATTTTTTTTCTTTTTTTTTTTTTTGCAAAAGAGTTAGAATAAAGAAAGGAAATAAAAAAAATAGAAAGAAAATATTTTAAAAGAATTATTAGTAAACATTGAATTTTAATTCATACCTGTAAAAAATTCTTTACAAAATATGCATTTCAATTCATCCTCCATCGTCATTCAGTAATTATAACAGATGCTTCTTTTGCTGTTTCACTTTAATTTATTCGTTTTTAATGATGAGCACATATCAAACTGTATCCGGTAAGATTATATCCGGTAAAATATGATACCGGAATAAAAAGGCACCACAGCAATAAGCAGGAAGAGTACGACGAAATCGAGGTAGTTCACTTGAAATAACTGGAATAATCGAAACTGAAATACCGATAAAAATGGTAGAGATAGGCACCAACAGTATGTTTTATACGATTGATTCCGAAGATAAGATTATATAAAGCGTTTTCAAAATGATTAATTGCTAGTTTTTCTGTATTTCGGTTCAATAAATTACTAACAAATAGTTCAAAAAACTTCCCATTTCTTCTTACCACTTATACATTTTATTGGAAAACAAATTTTTTAAATAAAACTTTTAATAGAAAAAAATTCTCAAAAAAATTTTGTACATTTTATCCAGTGAAAGGAAAGAAAATTTAACTTTAATAATAATAGCAATAATAATGATAATAATGATAATAATAATGAATAATAATAATAATAAATAATAATAATAGTAAATAATAGTGGTAATAATAACAAATAATAATAATAAATAATAATAAATATAATAAGTAGTGATAATAGTGATAATAATAAATGATAATAATAAATAATAATAATAATAAATAACAATAATAATAAATAATAGTAGTAATGAAAAATATTTCAGTTAGTAATACGAAGAGGAAGGAAAAAAAATTCAATCAAATAAAAGTTATCCGAAAGAATGAGACCTTATCATATATGACTTTATCATAAAATGAGACCTTATCATATACTAAATTTATCATTAAAAAAAACTTAAGCTAAGCTAAAACTCATCAGTAACGAATGATAGAAATACTTATCAATTACTAAATTAAACTTAAAAAAGAAAAAAGAAACCTTTTCTTTCTTGCCTATAATTAAATGATTAATAATAATAGAATGATGGCTTTTTACAAGAAACAGAAAAAAAAACTTAATCGGATTGTGAAATCAATAAAAATGAGAGGATATCAAAGAGTGTAAAATGAGTGGATGAGTGAGCGAGGAGAGAAAAAGGAAATGACTGAGAGATATTAGCATGGATATGTTTCGCGGTAATTCTTGAAGGTTCCCGATAAACTAAAAACTTTATCAGTTCTTTCCCTCCCATTTTTTTTCTTCCCGTTTATCAAATTTTTCCTTACTTACTCCTTTTTCCCCCCCCCCCCCGT